CTGTATGTATGTATGTATGTATGTACGTACGTATGTATGTATGTAATTGCATGTATGTATGTAACTGTATGTATGTATGTAACTATATGTATGTATGTAACTGTATGTATGTATGTATGTATGTATGTAACTGTATGTATGTATGTATGTATGTATGTATGTATGTATGTATGTATGTATGTATGTATGTACGCATGTACGTATGTATGTATGTATGTATGCATGTATGTAACTGCATGTATGTATGTAACTGTATGTATGTATGTAACTGTATGTATGTATGTATGCAACTGTATGTATGTATGTATGTATGTATGTAACTGTATGTAACTGTATGTAACTGTATGTAACTGTATGTGTGTATGTATGTATGTATGTACGTACGTATGTATGTATGTAATTGCATGTATGTATGTAACTGTATGTATGTATGTAACTATATGTATGTATGTAACTGTATGTATGTATGTATGTAACTGTATGTATGTATGTATGTATGTATGTACGTATGTATGTATGTAACTGTGTGTAACTGTATGTAACTGTATGTATGTATGTATGAATGTATGCATGCATGTATGTATGTATGTATGCACGTTCGTGTGTATGTACATAACTGCATGTATGTATGTAACTGCATGTATGTATGTAACTGCATGTATGTGCGCGTAATCGGCCGTGGTGTAAAATAGGATTTTCAATGATTCAATGTGGTTTGAATCACGCAATTACACTGCGTTTTATGGACAGTCTTTGATTTCACATGTTTCATGCGTAGTTCCATTTGGGAAAATATTGTCATTATAGAAACCAGTGTAACTGCGGGCAAAATATTGTATTTTTTTGCCCGCAACTAAGGAGTCCATTCATCTTTTGTGCATCATCGCCATCACCGCCATCACCGTCTTCACCATCTTCATCATCATCATCAACATCATCACCATGATCATCATCATCATCACCATCATCATCATCATCTTCTTTTTCTTACACCATGTTCGGTATGTAGGGCCAATGGGGACCATCCGTGCGCACCTTCACTTTTTCCATTGGCGCTCAATTCGACTTCAGCAGTCTGCGGAGTTGAGACATAAATCCTTGAGGGTTCAAAGGTAAGACGCTTTGTCACAACGTAGCATCAAGAGCGTGTAAAGGTCTAGGAAGAAAGTTCACAACGTCGCATCAACACAACGGAGTCAAGTAGAACGCACACGAAAGAACGTTATTACCCCCCCGAACCCCCAAAAAAAAAACACACAAGAACAAATTACTTTACTTCGTGTGATCCCCACCATGACATTTATACATTTTGTTACTGGCAAATCTTCTGGCATTCTATCTGACATTTTATCTGGCATTCTATCTGGCATACCTTCTGGCATTCTATCTGGCATATCTTCTGGCATTCTATCTGGCATATCTTCTGGCATATCTTCTGGCATTCTATCTGGCAAATCTTCTGGCATTCTATCTGGCATATCTTCTGGCATTCTATCTGACATATCTTCTGGCATTCGATCCGGCATTCTATCTGGCATATCTTCTGGCATATATTCTGGCATATCTTCTGGCATATCTTCTGGCATATCTTCTGGGATTCTATCTGGCATATCTTGTGGCAGTCTATCTGATATTTTATCTGGCATTCTATTTGGCATATCTTCTGGCATATTATCTGGCAAATCTTCTGGGATTCTATCTGGCATATCTTGTGGCAGTCTATCTGATATTTTATCTGGCATTCTATTTGGCATACCTTCTGGCATTCTATCTGGCATATCTTCTGGCATTCTATCTGGTATATCTTCTGACATTCTATCTGGCATATCTTCTGGCATTCTATTTGGCATATCTCATGGCATTTTATCTGGCATATCTTCTGGCATTCCATCTGACATTCTATCTGGCATATCTTCTGGCATTCTATCTGCCCGTTGAGGTCCAGCAGTGCACACTGAGCTAGGAAGGTCCCCGGTTGAGGTCCAGCGGTGCACACTGAGCTGGGCAGATCCCAGGTTGAGGTCCAGCGGTGCACACTGGGCTCGGCAGGTCCCAGGTTGAGGTCCTGGGCAGGCCCCAGGTTGAGGTCCCAGTGCACACTGAGCTGGGAAGTTGGCAAAGAGCTTGGCGAAGAGTTGGCAAGGCGGAAGTGGAGGTGGAAGTTGATGCAGACATGGTCGAGGAGAAACTAGACGAGGAGGAGGAGGAGGACAGCTAGCCGAGGAGGAGGAGAACAACTCTGATAAAATCTAACAACCCTCACCTGGCAGGTGGGGAAAAAACAAGAAATAGGAGAAAAAAGCTTGAAAAACGGACCATAGGCACGGCGAGAACAACACAAAATGCTGTAAAAACCGTTCTAGGAAGAAAAGTTCACAACGTAGCATCAAGAGCGTGTAAAGGTCTAAGAAGGTTCACAACGTAGCATCAAGAGCGTGTAAAGGTCTAGGAAGAAAAGTTCACAACGTAGCATCAAGAGCGTGTAAAGGTCTAAGGAGGT